CCACCGGTTAATTTAAGCCGGACACAGAGCCCCAAATGATGAGACACAATGTGGGTGGGGATCATGGGTTTGAAGCTTAGGGAAAGGAAGATTCACAGGCACTGACATGTGCATGGGCATGGACATGTGCATCATCTGGTATAACTGTTCAAATATGGCGTAATCGAGGACGGGAATGAAAGATTCTTAGGAAATCAGATTTCAGACAGCCAAACAGTGATTTTGATGAATAGCAGCGGTCAATTGACAAGCGGGTAGGAAAAAAAGGTAGGACAGAATGTAGGTCAGGAGCCCTGAAAACGGCATCTGGTACCGGTGGTGGAGCTGATTATGCTTCACTAAATCTACTTGTAGTGACGCACTCTTAGGCGGCATTGGAGAAAAAGAAAGCACAGAATTTTGTGAATAAGTGGATGGGCCATATGAAGTGGGATTGAGTGAGAGAGATGCGGCAATAGATGATAGAACAAAAAATAGGGGCGAGGAGTGATGCCACAACGGCTGAACAGAAAATTGGTCAGGGAGATTGCCTTCACTTGTCACCTTGATAAGTTCTAACTCTGTGCTTACGATGGCGCCTCTCACTGATGATGCCGGCGAAACTTTTGGGGATGTACTCAGCCAATGATCCAATGCCGGAAATCACGAATACGACTAGGTACGTTCCACAAGGTCTACCTGACGCTCCGACCAAGTTGCGAAAACAAGGTCAAACCAAAACTTAAATATACTAATCTCTAAGGCAGTGCACCTACCAGTTAGTTTAATAATAACCTCAACCAAATGTAAATTTTGAAACTAGTGGATACCCCTTAATTCGAAGTTATTTGAGTGTTGAGCCATAGTTTTATTGCTTTAGTTGCGAGAGTGTGTCTTTTGACGGAATGTTTGTCAGTATTGTGAAGTCCAAATTAACCTTTTTATTTTTATTTTTTACAGAATTCCGCATCTTGTAACTCGGCCGACAATTCAAAGCGCGGCCTTCGCCGTCTCTTTATGTCTAGACGTAAGAAGCAGTCTCAGGCAGTTGCTGAAACAGATGTGAATCAGTTTACTCCGTCTCCGTCTCCGGCCCCTACAACCTCATCGCTTTCATTATCCCCTGCAATCGATGCGTGGCCAATCAATCTGTTTGCCGACCATGAGGACATATCTGGCTGTTCTGGTCATTTAAGTACAATAACCGGCATTGAAGAATCAGATGAAGAGGATGCGAATCAGGTTTCAATGTCCTGTGTCTCTATAGCTCAAAAAGTGGACTCTGTGGGCCCCTGTAGAGGGCTAACGCGGACTTTAAACCATTCACGTCTTTCTATTGCTACTCTCCCCGGCTTGCTAAGTGGAGACGGCCAAATATTGATGGAATCTCAATCTCATAACGACAAAATACCTTACATGCCAGAGAACCACTCATCTGTAGCCAGTCCAGGTACTCATTTTCCTTTATCTTATATAAATCAATATTGAGTCTGTTTATCTGGAGGATCACAACAAAATGCAGGATATTAATGTATTTAAAGAGTTATCCACCCCATAATATCCCTTTATTTATTCAAACTTTGACTCGTTCATATAAGCAAGATATATATGTTGATATCGATCGAATAAATCGCTTTTCTTTATCATTCTTAGTACTATTGTTACTTCTATTTTTATACTCTTAAATAATAAAATAATTCAGCTTGTTTCCATCCTGATTATCCAAGACCCGATTTAACACTAGAACTTATCCTGGATAAGTGATTTTTTATTAAATAGAAACTATCTATTTCAGTCATTTGTAGCTTACTGCTCGGAAATCAATATCAACAAGATTTCAACTTTTTATAGGATTTAGCCTTGTTCAGAATATATACTTTTTCTGATTTAATGTTGGCCTTTATTTTAATTAATCTTATGAAATCAATATCTAAAATAGCCTTATGGTTGAAAATAAATGCAATAATAGATTTTTCAATGGCGTGCTAGTTGGAGGACGAAAAGATGGTCTAAATGAGATCCCCAACGACCCTTTTAAATTCATTCAAGGGTATATGTTGAATAGATTGACGATAGATTCTATCAGGACATTAAAGGATATCATGCTATCATTCGTTACATCATCTTAAGCAATGAATCATAGTGCAATTTTTTAATAAAGATTACTCTTTATCTCCTTTTCTTTATTATATGACAGAGATCTTTTGCAAGACGACATTGTAAAATAGCTAGAGTCATCCTTAGAAGACAATTTACGAGCAAATCTATTATAATTAGATATTATCTAGTGCTAAAGTATAGAAACTATTGGTAAATATTTATAATAAAGATGGTGATCATGAACTGATAATTAAATACCAACTGTGCAATAAAGAGAAAGCTTCAACGTGCAGTAAAATTTCCTTATAAAAAGCTCTCCCATCCCGAATTGTCTGAATTTTTCAGATGACCAGAGGGCAAAGCAAGATTGAGTTGAATTTAATAGCATGATGACGACTGGTATATTTGTGAGCAACTTATCAATTTGGTCTTGGGTCGCTTGAAAGATCTACGATCGCTTTTGTTAGATTTTGAGTAATTTGATCTGAATTCGGAAGTGCATGGATTACCCAGAAAATCAAATATAGACTGTGACCCACTGGAACCCCTAGCGTTGGACCGTGGAATTGGTACATCCCAAAATGGCATAGTAAGTAAATCTTGCATTTCTTAGCACCAAGCTAAAACTTGTCAGATAAACATCAAATCGTTCCTTTAAACGGGTGATTGTCTATCATTCCTCTTTCTGTCCTGTCGCATCTACTTTCTCTATACCCTCTTATCTCACTCCTGCCCCATCATTACTTCCGACATGTTTATATTCCACTCTATTAATGTGCCCTTTAATAAGTGATTTGGGACCGGTAATACTTATACACGTTAGTGCACAGACATTGGAACACACATATTCAAGTAAAGGCTGTATGACCAATATAATATGATTGGCAAAACCATTTTATTTTTATCTATGCCTGTACACTAGTTTTTTTAGATGAGTATACTTAAGAGGTAAGATAGGGCTGAGCAGTCTTCCTGACCTAGTATTAAGGTGGGACTTTTACAGGAATGATTTCCAGCTCTGATGTTGTTTATCATATGATGGGCGAAGGCCTAGCCCGTTTTCATTCGAGATTTTTACGAGATTAATCGAAACCAAGTTATCTTTTGCATCAGATAACACCAAACTTAAATTCTTCAGAATTTGGAATAGTCGATGAGTCAACTTGCGTAGTCTTGATTAGTAAGTGGCTCAGTCTTCACTTTTTATCGCCAAAAGGATCTTTAGTCATCGCCTTTTTATCATAGATATTAGGAATACGATTTTACATAACATTTTAACGATCGATATAAAAGACATGGCACCAGGTCTTTACCTTATTCATCCCGCCGTGCATCATTATGAGCACTGAATAAAATCAGCAAACAAATCTTTTTGATTACGTCATTGCGTCGCCAGATTTAGTATTTATAGGTATACAATAATGTCTATGACTCATTCATAGCACCCAACAAAAGCATTTCCTAATATTGCTGATAATTACGTTATTATTTCTCTATAACTAATCTTGACTTGTTTCCATGACCCTTTTATATTCCACTCATAAAGTTAGTTTAAATGGATTTGTAAATTAGTCTCAGGAAATCGATGAGGGATTGACTTAATTCACTCGAAGAGGTCTCCGGCACTTTAGTGACCCGATCCATCCTGAAGAGGCCATGGTGAACTATGATGCTGCCAGTCTCAGGTGAAAGCTCAGCATGAATTGATCTGGGCACGTACCCTGAAAGTCTTTTCACAAGTCGGCACTCACAACTCCGAGGAAATCCTCTGGTTAATATACCAATCCCTTGCCTCAAACTACTCAGATTAACTGAAAGGTCCAACGAAATGAAATCATCAATTGATTTTATTTGAGACTCAGCTTCTCTCAGCATGCCTTATATCTACTTATCTTGAAATTTTGCTCCTACAGTGGTCTTCACTCAACTCGAAATGGATCGCTTGGATTTGGACTTTCTAGAATCTACGGTATCTTCTGCATCAATTCGATCACCTTTATCAGGTTACATCCTGAAATTCTCCTTAAATCTAAATAAAATTTATGATCAATTTTAGATGGTTACTCCAAATTCTTGTCTAGTTTTGTTAATGCAATCTCATAATGCATTGCGTCGATATCATAGTAATAATAAGGCATATAATCCACGTAATAACTGTATTAACCCTAGGTCGCATAAGTTTAAGGACTTATATTTGGATCTTCCTACTATAATGATTAGGCCTTACGATTCTATCAAATTTTACTTAGCCTTGCCTCCTAAAAGCTTTCCTCAGGGTGGATTGTGACTTCTACCGATACTGGGTCACGAATGGAAACGGTATCGTGTGCGTAGAGTAGCGGCGCAATAAAAATTACACCATGGCTACAGGCATCAGTTGGCTACGTGAGAGTTGTCTAATAAGCTAGGCCTCACCCAAATTACAAATTTTGATGGATATCGTTGGTCAGAATTTCTAACCTTAGCAACATATTATAGCCAGTCAAAAAACAAGTAAAGTCAATTTTCTGACCAACTATCTATCGAATAGTTATCTCTCCCTTTGTCCTGGTAAATTCATATATCTCATATCCTCTTATCAATCTTTCATTATCACAACTTTTTATTTTCTTATTTAAACCTAGTTCAGGTATATCTTTTAAAGCAGATTTAGTAGATATTTTTACACTACCCGTTTGTTTCCTCATCCTCTCCATTGTGCTTGTGTTTATTCGACTTAGGGAGAGGAAGATTTCCAGGCACTGACATGTGCATCATCTCCTCTAACTCCTCGAATATGGCGTAATCGAGGAGGCAGCCAGATTTCAGACAGCCAAACAGTGAGTTTGATCCTTAGCAGCGGCCAATTGACAAGTGGTAGGACACAAAGGAGGGCAGAATGTGGGTCAGGAGCCCTGCAAACGGCATCTGGTATGAGTGGTGTAGATGCTTACGCTTCAGTAAATCCACTTGTAGCGGCGCATTCTTAGGCGGCATTGGAGGAAACGAGAGCAGAAAATATTTTGAATAATTGGATGGGCCATATGAAGTGGGATTGAGAAAAAGAGATGTGGCACTAGAGGATAGAACTAAAAATAGGGCGATGAGTGATGCCACAACGGCTGAACAGAAAATTGGTCGGGGAGATTTCCTTTACTTGTCACCTTGATAAATTGTAACTATGTTTACGATAGAACCACTGACGATGCCGGAGATACGTTTTTGAATGTACCCAACTAATGGTCCAATGTTGGAAATCACTAATACTATGGCAGAGGACACCAGACTATTTACGTTCCTCAAGGTCTGCCTGACGCTCCGATCAAGTTGCCCAATTTCGGTTGTTTTCCTGATTCCTTACTTTTTTCATCCTATCCAAATTTATACTCTTTACTGCCCTTATATTCCTCTATGAATTCGCTGGAGTACTCGTTGCCAATGGAAATGCGAGTCAATTTAAATTTTTGTCCCCAAACTCCATATCCGTTAGTCCTGAGCTTATGTTGATCAAACTCCCTATTATTTTGATCTTCAGTTTGTATTTGTGATGAGACTGGAAATTTAAGATTATTCCTAAATATGATTTCTCTCCGAATAGTCTGCCTTAGATTGAATGACTTCAAAATCCCGGAAATGTAGTCGCTTATTCTTATCTATTATGAATTCACTTCTTTTTCATTTGATTCATAGTTCAGCAGTTCCTCGAAGCTTAGAATAGATGCATTACAAGGCTAACTGCAATTCCTCGGTATTGTAACGACCTAAAGTTAATACAGTTCTTATTCAAGGTCTACTGATAGTACTAACGTTAACTTATTAGAAATGCTTAAATTATCCAGTTTACATTTATTATACCTTCTTATGTATACTAAACAATTCACTAAGTACCCACTTATTCTAATTAGAGTTTAATGAACACTTCGACACCCTATTATAATCCCAACTTTTGAATACCAAAATGTTGGAAATTTGATGTTTTAAGAAGAATATACCTCAGGAAAATTTTTAACGAGCATCTAAATACAATTTTTCAGTTTTAACTATCCCATATTTTGCGCATATAAAAAATCTAACTCCTTATGATTTCGCTTTAGTTCTGGAGGCAGAATTAATGACCAAAACACCGGCCATA